TTCATAGCGACTACTCATCTCAGTCGTTGGATTGGTGGGATGGATTCTCTCGCCGTCTTTCTGGTATTGTTTATGTGTTTTTCTTTGGTTTTTTTTTTGCATTGGCACATTCGTTTTAAGCAAATTTCTAAATCTCATTACGGATTTGATTCGTCGTTTTATGTATCGATTACATTGAACTTGTGTGTTTTGAGTGTTGATTAGAGCAATTTTGAAGTGGGTTTTGTGTTTAATTCTGATATAGAAATCTGGTTTTGAGAATGTATGTTTTGGTCATACCTAGAGTGAGATTTGTAATGTAGACTAGTGATGTTCCTCAATCTTACTGGGTTTGTAGTGATAAGTTAAGTGAGCTCTATGAAAAGGGTTTTAATTGGAGATGAAGTTGTTCTCAGGGCTTTTAAGGCTTGGGTTTGGAGTCACTTAAGAGGTATCTAAATTCAAGTTTAAATTGATTCTTCTAAATCAAGCAACTTTGAGCTTGTGGTTTTCATGCTTACTGATTTGAATCTTAAGTCTCTGACTAAATTCATGAGGTTGTGGTAGATATATGTCTCTCTGTCAGTGATGTTCTGATTAAGTGGAACTAGTGATAGACGTTGTGTGCATTTTTCCCAATGTTTCTTTCTCCTTATGATAACCAATTGATAGATCCAGATTAGCTCCTTCTGCTTTTGCATTTTTCTTTTAGTTTGTTTTCGGAATGTTGGTTTTAAAATACTCCATTGTTTGATGAGCTAACCAGTTATGGATCTGCATTATTCTTTTACATTGACTTCATTACAACCAAAATATGCCGTTGTGTTATAGAGCAGTAAGCTTGATCTTGCATACATTGTTGATTGTGTTACTATGAGGATGTCATGGTTTTTTCTTTTGCCTTTTAGGTCCATTGTCGGTGTCAACTGATCCAAAGACATTTGAGTCAGTTTTCAAAGTATCAAGGAAGTCATTTGACTACATTTGCTCTCTCGTGAAAGACGATTTCACAGCAAAGCCTGCAAATTTCAGCGACTCAAATGGTAAACCTTTATCCCTCAATGACCGCGTAGCCGTAGCGCTTAGGAGGCTTGGCTCTGGTGAATCTCTCTCAGTCATTGGAGAGTCCTTTGGGATGAACCAGTCAACCGTCTCCCAGATCACTTGGCGCTTTGTCGAATCAATGGAAGAGAGAGCTCTGCAGCATCTCTCATGGCCTTCGAAATTCGACGAAATAAAATCAAAATTTGAGAAAATCTCAGGTCTTCCTAACTGCTGTGGCGTAATCGACATTACACATATCGTCATGAACCTTCCGGCTGTGGAACCGTCTAACCAAGTTTGGTTGGATGGAGAAAAGAACTTCAGCATGGTATTGCAGGCCGTAGTGGACCCGGACATGAGATTCCTCGACGTAATCACAGGTTGGCCTGGAAGCTTAAGCGATGATGTTGTCCTAAAGAACTCGGGATTCTTCAAACTTGTTGAGAAAGGGAAGAGACTGAATGGGGAAAAGTGTCAGCTCTCAGAAACAACCGAGCTACGAGAATACATAGTGGGTGATGCGGGTTTTCCTCTTCTTCCATGGCTTCTCACTCCATACCAAGGCAAACCCTTGTCGCTCTCTCAAACAGAGTTCAACAAAAGACATTCCGAGACAAGAAAAGTTGCGCAGATGGCATTGTCGAGGCTTAAAGACAGATGGAGGATAATTAACGGGGTAATGTGGATGCCCGATAGAAACCGGTTACCACGGATAATCTTTGTCTGTTGCTTGCTGCACAACATTCTTATAGATATGGATGATCAAACATTGGATGATCATCTTTTGTCTCACCAACATGACGTGAATTACAGGCAACGAAGCTGCAAGCTTATCGATGAGGCTTCATCAGTGTTGAGAGATAAACTCTCTGATCAAATGTACGGTAAAATATCTTCAGCTTGATTA